TTTGTCCTTCATATATATATATCTGATATAATATCTGCATCCACTCTGCAATTCCATTAGTGGTCAATAATTTTAAGTTATTTTAAAATGAAGTAATTTAAGTAGTAGTTTTTTTTGCCTTTGTATTCTTTATTGAACACACTTGAAGACTTTAGATGTTTCAGGTTCCCAAAACTGGAATGTTAGTGTAACAGAGTGGACTTTAACGTGGACTGGGGAGGGAAAATATGGTGTTGCACATTGCACTTGTTTTTACAGGCCTTCAGAGAGCCCGCCACACAGCTTCAGAACCACCACTCTAAACTTTGGGTCCCCAACAGATCTAAGTGACGATTAGATGGATTTTCTGTACATTTATGGCTCTCACCCAGTCGCTAGATCTGATTGAAGACGTTGCAATTCATTATAGCCCCAACACTATTGGTTTTGTTTAGCTAAATAAATAAATAAATTGAACTTTGCAAGGGTTTTGTGTGATCAGCCATTTCCAATATCAATTTGTTCTCAACATGCTTTTTACTGGAAAAAAAATTTCTTTTGAAATCTGACTACATAGAGTTCCCATTCATAAGAAAAGCCTCTATTCAGTGTTGAACTCAGATTTTCTCAGTATAACTTCACCATCGTCTTTAGATTCATCAAGACTCCGTTATAAGACCTTTAAGCTCTATTAGGGGCTTTTGTTGGTTTGTCCTTGGTGCTTGTATAATGTCCTACTAATCACATTTATTAAAGTACAACGTTTTTGCTGATGTCAACTAAGCTGTCTTACATTTATACCTTATACTTGCTGTAGTTTCTCTATGTTCATGACTCTGGGAAAAATATTTCTGAAGTAGGCGATGTTTTTTCCAGTTTGATGTGCAGGTTAAGATTCAAGCAAAGAAAGCCCTTTGGGCATGTCTTAAAGTCATAAATTTGCAATGTTTTCTCTCTGTTCTCTCACATATCGTTTCACAATATTCTTTTGTGTGGACCAAAAACTGCCTATGTGCTAGCACAGTATGTGCTATGAACTTTCTTTTATGAACAAATATAATACATTTGCATGAATATTTACAATAAGACAAAATATGGCATTCGTAGATATTATCTTGCTTCATCTTGGAATTGAGAGAATTACTTGATGAACCGCCTTGAGGCGACTTTTGTTGTGATTTGGCGCTATATAAATAAAATTGAATTGAATTGAATTGAATTGAACCAATGGGTAGAGTAACTGATAAGAGAAATGTAATTGTTTGCTGCTCTTTGAGTCGTTTTAGTTATATGCAGTGTACAGATACAGAGTTTCTTCAAGCTACACAGAGTTTTAGAAACCATGGAAAAAGGAGTGAAACACCTAAAGTAAGAAATGCATGAGAAAGGAACTTCTTGCACTGCCCAGTGAGGAGTGTAAAGGGCAGTGTGCCTCTAATAGAGACTCTGAGCTTAGTGTCAGGGTGACTAATGACCTACAGTGCTCTCAATTATTATTGCTAACACACACACACACACACACACACACAAACCCCATGTGATTTACTCGAGTGCATGCTTTGAAGAGGTATGACTCGGTTGCAATCACAGGCAGCTACACCAACATTTCCGTCTCCATCTCAATTTCCCAAGAACCGAAGACTCGTGGTCTAAATGAGGACATCAGCACTCTCGAAAATAGGTTTGTCCACAGAAAAGCCACCCAAGTGCAGCACAGATTAGCTTTCTGCCCTGTCACAATCAATGTGAAAGTGGGTCTCATTAATTTCTTCGGGCACATCTTTCATCACACCTCGATCTTGTATTATTCAGAGGCTTTTTTTTGCCATTTTTAGCTTTGCCGTTGCTTTTGAGGCATGGCGATTGTAAGGTTAGTCCTCGACTGTAATAAAAATATAATAAAATCAGAGTCATCATGACCTCTGCAACTATATTGTTAACAACAGGATTTTTAAATATATTAATATAAATTAATATTAATATATTAATATAATATAAATTAATAAGCAAGTGTCTGCTGTAGTGAGATCTAGCTTCCACCAACTGCGCCTTATCTCTAAGGCTAGGCATTATGTTCCACATGAGGACCTGGAGAAGCTTATTCACGCTTTTGTGACCTCCAGGTTGGATTATTGTAACTCCTTGTACTACGGTCTTCCCTCTTCTCTTCTTCTTAGACTGCAAACAGTCCAAAATGCAGCAGCCCGCCTCTTGACTGGTACCAGGAAATTTTGCCCTATTACTCCTGTTCTAGCTAGCTTGCATTGGCTGCCCATAAAGTACCGTATTCAATTTAAAATATTACTCCTTACATTCAAAACTATTAATAAATTAGCGCCAAGTTATCTTAGTGAACTTCTCAAATCACATACTCCTGCTAGAACACTCAGATCTGCCACTCAGCTACTTCTGATCCAACCCAGATCTCGGCTGAAGTCCCGGGTTGACCGTGCGTTTGCTTTGGCCGCCCCGGTACTGTGGAATACCCTTCCTCTCGACCTCCGTGCATCTGATTCTATTGCACTGTTCAAATCACGACTAAAAACCCACTTATTCAATCTTGCCTTTCCCTCTAGTTAATATTTCTTTTATGATTTTATATCATGCACTTTTATGCTCATTTAAATTCTTGTTTGCTCTGTACCTGTTGCTTTCCTATGTATCAGTGACAGCTACCTGCTTGCACACTGAGTACTTGCTTTGGTTCTATTTCTATTATCCTCCTCCTATTCTCTATCTTACTTGTTAAGCACCTTGGCATACCCTTGGTTTTTAAGTGTGCTTTATAAATAAAGTTTATTATTTATTTATTATCCACAGTGGATTTTAAATCAAACAATCACGACAAGTTTGAAGTGCAGACTTTTATCTGTAATTCATTCTCCCAGAAGTATTGCATTAAAACTTAAGACCCTGAGTCTATCTCCCACCGGGAACGAGTCCGACTTATTGCCGGCTATTCGGACCAAGTTTTTGCAGTTGTTGTATAAAGATCAAATGGCTCGTAGCAACAGGCCAGACAATCCCACACTATTGAAGCACCTCAGAGAGATTACTCGGAGGGAGATGATCGATTGCCTTCTTCAAGTCCACAAGACGCATGTAGACTGTTTGGGCAAACTCCCATGCACCCTCAAGTATCGTCAAGAGGGTAAAGAGTCCGCAGCTGGGACAAAAACCTGCATTGTTCCTCCTTTATCTGAGGTTCGACTAACAGACGGACTCTGCTTTCCAGCACCCGGGCCTTGACTTTCCCAGGAAGGTTGAGGAGTGTGATTTTTTTTTTTTTTTTTTTTCTCTCCCCACTTTTTTGTTCGGCCTAATGATGGCCTCTTCTAGTTGCATCACCACATTTTTGAACCTCATGTTGTGAATACAAGTTCAATTGTGAAAACTCTAATGAATCTTTCAGGAAAAAATAAATAATTTTTTTCCATTAACTGTGTATTTGTGGGAATGTCTTGTTGGGTAGCTTTCACCTCACAAATCAGCCTTACGCTTCTTATATCTTTTCTACACATAATTGCATGCGGCGTGAACTCAAAAGAAAAGATCAATTTTGCATAACACTGAGTAATTTAAGACTGAGCGTCGCTCAGTTTATGTGAAATTTATCACAGCAAGTGATATAAAAGCAAATCTTAATTACAAATATTTGACGAAGTCAAATTGGCTGGAGCTAGGCTGGCAGCTTTATTTCACTGCTGCCAGACTCTAAGCTCTGGAGCTTAGAGTCCAGCCTCCAGTCTGGACGGCCCGCAGACAGCCTGCCTGCAGAATCAGCCTGCAGCCCCAGGAGAGCCTTCCATCCTGCTGCGTCTGCTCTTCTCCCTCCTCATAAACATCCATCCTGCCTGGTCGACCTGTCAAACCCTGCATCTCCCACCCCTTGCGTCCCTCCGTTATCCCCCCCCTCCACACACACACACACACACACACACACTCCCCTTCTCTCCCCTCTCTCTTCCTCTGCTCCACTGGGCTTGTGAAGGTGAGCCAGTCCCCGGTGGCACTACTGTACAGATTGCAATGTTTCCTCTTCAAATGGAGGTAGCTCTCTTGTGAAAACCCATGTGAAGAGGGACCGGGCTGTTTATTTTTGTCCTTTACTGCACACTTATCTCTGGGCGTCCTTGTTAATTAGTCTCTATCTCAGTCTTTGGTCAGCTGCTTTTGACATTACAAGGACAGGATGAGGTTGTTCTGTGTGTTGCTTCAAAGTGAGGCTGATGAAAAGCACGCATCCCCAGAGGTTTTAGGCCAGTTTGTTGCCACCCAGTCACTTGTCCTTAAAAGCTTCTTTATGAGCAGGACGTGTGGGGGAACAATAAGAGCAGTAGGAGGAATGCTTCAGAATAGCTCTGAAGTGACTCAACCTCTAATGGATGTGCCTAATCACTTTTGATAGTGTCCATCTGTGGTTCTGTAATTGATGTCTTAGGGCAGGTGCTTTCCTGGTACACTTCTGTGTCTGACATCTATAGAGCTGAAGTTTCTTCACCTCACTTCCCGATTAATCTCTGTTCTCTGTTGCTCTTGATTTATTGTGTGTGTGTGTGTGTCTGTCTATGTATCATCTTTTATATTTTTTCTCAAAAGCTGCAATGTAATAAAGGATTAGGCAGGTCTCTAAAACTATACTGGCTAAAGAAATTGTAACATGTAAGTTATGTAACAAATAAAACACAGATCTCTAGGGCACTGGACTAAAATTCTTTTGTGGTGTTTAGAGGTTCATGTCATGCCTAAAGTTCATGTCATGCATTATGACTGTTGATGAAATATTGTTTGTTTTGTGTAATCTTTCAAAAGATCTTCACATTTCTACATCTCAGTGAAGTAACAAATCTTTATTTAATCTTAAATATGGAAAAGAGTGAGCCTGTTCTCAGATTTCGATTTGAACACTATCCTGCACTTTTACTCGTGTGCACATGAATGCCTTGGTGAGCACAGAGTGTTATTTGGCCATCCTGTTGCTGCAGGTGAACTGATTGCGTTTCCCCTATGTGTCGGTGTAGGTTTTTGGAGATTATTATCACTTCAGGCATCACGCCGTGGAGAAGAGAGCTTTGTCTGGCCACAAGAGGATGCACATCAGACTGCAGAAAGAACCACAGGTAAGACTGTTGTCAGCACTCGCGCAGCTTATTGTAGCACTTCATGTTGGCAACAAAAGGCCAAAAGACAGATTGGATTGCACAAAGAGAGTGGGTATATCACGAGAGAAAAGGGATGTCAGAATCAGTGACAGCTTGTCAAAGTCTTTGCACCGGTCCCTTCCATCTGTCCCGTGACCCAATCCAAAGTAGCTGTAAATATGCAAAACCACCCAGCACAACAGCTGGGAGAGTCTGTTATTAGCTGAGCATTTTCAGTAGTTTTTCTTTTCTTTTCTAATAAATATTTTCATTTAAAACGTAAATGCCATTTTTATATAGTTAAAAATCGCATTTGTGGGGCATCTACTAATCGGAAGGCTGGTGTGTCGATCCCCGGCTGCTCCAGTCTGCATGGCTAAGTATTCTTGGGCAAGATATTGAACCGATGCATGTAGTTGAATGCTAGATGGAAAACACTTGAGCATAGTAAAGGTGCTTATGTGAATGGGTGTGAATAGTGAAGGAGGCCTCTTTTTTCTAAAGTGCTTTGAGTGCTTGAGCACAAAAGCGTTATATAAAAGTCATTTACCATATATAGATGTGATATTTACCCGATATCAACCACCATTTTTAAATTGTTTCACAAAATCAAACTTTCTGTGTACCACATATAAAAACAAAAGTGCCAAAATTGGGAGATTTTTTTCTTCTCCTTTTCACAGATTATGGAATAAGCAGCATCATATCACCAGACCGCTGTGTATTTGTACTGTTCCTGAACAATAAAACAGCATCTACTAACCAATAAAAAAAAAAACCCAAATGCGCTTTTGCTTTTTCCCTGTTAATGTTTATGTTCTGGCTAGAAACAAAGTTGTCGGTTGATGTTAGAAAACACTGATTCACATTACAAACCTTATATCTCGCTCTTTATTATAGCAGAATTTGCATCTGCAGCCCACAGATCAAAGCACATCAGTTACAGAGAAAATAATACTTGCAAAAATGTGAAATGCTTTTCTTTAAGCATGAAATGCTAATTAGATATGACATTTAGAGATCATTACAGCACTGCCTTCTGAAGGCAAAGAGATATTTACTAATGCTGCAAGCATTTAAGAAAATTCAGATTTGGGTTATCCTATTTTTTTTTAACCTATCTTGGCAGGAAAAGGGAAAAAAGGAGAGAAAATAGGAGAAACAATACAAATAAAGGAACAGAGCATGAGTAGAAAAACACACTGGGTCACCAAATAATGTACCTGTAAGAAAACACATACAAAAAACAAACAGCACTTAGAGGGGAAACGCAAACCTACGGGAGATGTTTAAGCAAACACAGCAGATATCGTCTTCTTTAGTTTGTGTGGAGGAAAGAACTGAGTGTTAAAGTGCTGATATGCTACAGTTTATTCTAAAAATGTAGAAAAGAGAAATGTGCAGTTACCATTATCAAGTGGACATAAGTAGATGACTGTCACCTAAAGAGGTGAAACCATATTAGATCATAACACTTCTTTTATTAAATGTTTCCTTTTAAATCTATTTTTATATGTGTGAAATAGGAATTATTTAAATGAACATTTTCAGCTTTTGTATATTAGAATAAACCCTGGATGAAGGCTTGCAGTAAGCTGGTGTGAAGTCTGTAGTATAGTAGTGTGAATTCTGTGGCAAAACCTGTTTGAATAAAACCCCATCTGTATACATGGGAATTTATAGTAAAACTATGGCTAAATCTGCCGTACATAATGTCATTTGACTTCTCTACATTAAAAATATTTCTCAGAATGTTTAGTAGCTTCTAAAAAATCAAGTACTTCACATTTCAGGGACCAACAGAAGTACTGCATCTGTGCAAATGTCTGCTTTACAGTTCTCCTATTTTCAGTCTTACTGCTAAAAGAGTTTGTTGCTGCAGTGTTTACACTGGAAACAAGGGAGGCAGCTGAGGTAATTGCTGCTTTAAAAGCATCTTCAGAGCTGCCGGACTGGTGCTAAAACGTAGGCAGTTACCAAGTGAGAACATCTATAGCAAGGTAGTTTTGCCAAGTGCAACCCAAGGACTAATCTGTAGCTTTCCTGAGTCCAAGTCGTTCCGGCCGAGGAAAGGACTGATGTGGTCTGACAAGCTCTGAGGCCCCAAGACATCATTAGTGGGATATGGTGACGTGCACTGAGGCCAGTGGCATCAGGGGTTGGGGTAAGTGGATGACAACAAGTCTCTGAGAGCGTATGGGTTCCAGGGAATCTGGTTGCTGAGCAGATATCGGTACTGTGGCTCTCAAATTCATAATACATCGTTTTCAAATCTAAAAAAAACAAAAACAAAACACACACAATTAAGTAAATTTAGCACAGGCAGTGGCAGAAACAAGGGTTTTATTATTGTTACTGAGGAAGATTTAATGATGTGTAATATTGGATTTTGGGTGCAGAAGGGACCGAGCAACATTAAAACCCAAGTGAGAATCTGTCAATAGAAAGTTGATATGTTCCTAATAAGTGGACACTGAGGTGTATTATGTTCTCTGTGGGCTTTTTGCTGTTACCAAATGAGAGAAAAACCAATCTGCACTTTAAAACTGCTGCCTTGACGTCAAAGCCTAAGAATTACAGCCTTGCCTATTATAAAGATATTTTTGACAAAGGAGATTCCATCTCGAGTTCATCTTAGTTGGAAGGTCAGTAGTTCAAGTTAACGCAGCACTTGAACCTGCAGCTATTAAGGGCAGCAGGTTTCTGGCTCAGGCACAACAACTCGTCCCTAGGTTGCCCAACCACCCACACAACCAGAGCAAACCTCAGGCAAAGCATGACCACTGCCAAAAACATGCCACAGAAGCATAAGTGAGTAGGTTTGTTTTTGTGTTTTTGTTTAAGTGCATTTGTGTAATCATATGGTTCTGTAAGACCATCTGATCTCTGGAAAAAATAAAGAACAGTAAAGGTTTTTGTTTTACCTGTTTTTCAAATAAATAAATAAATAAATAAATCAAAAGACAATGGTTGGATTTGGATTAGTCATTGCTGAGCTTTGAGCTCGTTACAGTGTTTCCTCTCTGTAATCCAGCAGCTGTAACTCACATTACCTCCATTGTCTCTTTTCCTCAGCTCTGTGGAGCTAACGTGCTTATCACCATGCCTTCTGAATAATCACGCAGTGGCATGATGACACTGGCAGCTGCATAAGCTCACACCGTAATGCTTGCGAGAGTTGTTTGTCATCTCCTCTCCACACCCCGTATCATCTTTCTGAGGGAAAGAATTGATTTGCTTGGGGTGGCTACTGTTGGGTTTCTTATGAACAGTAGTGTAAGGCAGGATGCACAGTGTCCTGGCTGGAATTTAAACTACATCTGTCTCTCGTACAGTTTTACTAGAAAGTTTCACTCTGGCTGTAAAAGTGTGCTGGATTTTTAGTTGCTATAAGAGGCCATATTGGATGAGGCTGACAAAATTCTGCATTTATTATTGTCAACAAATCCCGTTAGGAGACCAAAACCAATAATACATTAGTCTGCCTCTCAGTAGTGAACTCATGACTTACCAAGCTTGGCATTCAGCCCCAAGCCCACTGGTTGCTACTGACGTAAATGTTTAAGTATGAGTCACAAGAGGAACAAGAAGGTGGGGGAAAAAAATGCCTTTGTCGGGGCCATGACTGATTATTTTCAAGACAGTGCGATTCCTCCTCCTTATATTGTTTCATTTTAATCTTTTTCAAAGGCTTGGAAAAAATAAAGTGATCCAATAATTCACAAGACAATCAAACAAGATGAAGAATATCTGTTTTCTGTCCATCATGTCGTGAATATTCCTCGATATTATCTTCCAGACCCTTGAAGAAGCCATCATTGATTTACAGCACCAGCGCAATATGTGTGTAATCACCTCAAAATAAACCATGCTCGTCGTAACGTCTGGCTCACTGATCTTTTTATTGTTGAGACAACACTAAAGCTGCAGAAAGGAATATGCTTTCAGTGTCTGAAGCCTTGGATATACAGACAGTGCTTGTTAATGCAGGGTTTTTCGTGACTCAGAGTGGCCTTTCGGGCCCAACTATTCACATAAGTACATTGGTTTATGCAGGGCATAGACCATAAAGGCAGTGCGTATGTGCCATCTTATCTTAT